TTGTCTATTTTTATACAATATATGACTTTGCTGAAAGCAAAGTCCCACAATGAGTTATAGTTCATTCTGATTTTCATAGTTTTGATGTCACCAGCAATCCTCGTATTAACGAACAACAATCTGATTTTTGAAAATGTTTCACCATTGAATTCAGTTTTAGATTATGATATAGGTCAGGAGTTTTCAATAGTAAGGATTTATAGGGGAGGGGAGGTAATAGTAAGGATTTATAGGGGAAGGGAAGTAATAGTAATGATTTATAGGGGGAAGGGGGGTAATAGTAAGGATTTATAGGGGAAGGGAGGTAATAGTAAGGATTTATAGGGGAAGGGAGGTAATAGTAAGGATTTATAGGGGAAGGGAGGTAATAGTAAGGATTTATAGGGGAAGGGAGGTAATAGTAAGGATTTATAGGGGAAGGGAGGTAATAGTAAGGATTTATAATGCAATCGATCAAGTATCCTGAAAGGGCTAATAGAAAGAAAACGATTGAAAATCCCTAATAATAAATGTACACAACATTACCATGTATTGTTAGAAGAGATATAGTAATAAATATACAAAATATACAATACTGGCTGTGTCAGTCTCCAGAATGGGGTGTGTTGAAACAATAACAAAAAAGGGGGTTCCCGACATTGACGATATACACACACTTAGGTAAGTGTCTTTAGATTCAAGTGTAGGAATTGAAACATATGATCAGTGGCGGTGTAGTTTTCAATATCTTGTGTACGTTAGCTTCAATTGGTTTATTATTTTTGAGATTCATCTATTGCGACTCCGGAAGTTGTGTTATAGTAGACGGGTGAAGATTGATTTGAGATGTTCACAGGATTTCTAGAGTCTGAAAATATAAAAAGAAAATTATGTACATATATATCGAATACGTTGTAAATTTATTGTAACAACAGTGTTGCTGTCAACTGATTCATTTAACTGTGATTGAAGGCATTTTATGTGGAAAGTATCTTCATCACATTTTTATAGGTGATGTAGCCTAGGTTATTGCAGCCAGCGCTATGAATACATATTTTCAAATTCAAATATTGAGTCGTAAAATGAGCTGTCAGACTGTTGAAGATTTAAGACAGGTCTTAACGAAGTAAGAAAAAGATGCGATATACTTCCCTGTACATTTTCCGCTTTGCGTAA